GGGGATGTGTGTGTTTGAGAGAGCATGACCGCATTGGTTGTATCTATTCTCCTTGGGAACTGCTCCAGTGAAAAACTCACGCCTCAGTTGGAGGAATGGAGCTGCTCACAATTTGGGGCGCAGGATTTTATTTCAGCCACTTCATAAAGGGCCTTTTGTTATCTGCCAGTTCACAGTGCTCATTGTTTCAAGGGCATTACTTTCCTTGGAAACAAAACTCTTAAACTACTCAAGAGCAAGTACCCAGTCCCAGGCCTTGGGTTTCCCTGGAAGGCTTGCACTGTTTTCTAAACAGTTGAGGGAAGAGTAAAAGGGAAATGGCAGCCGAGCCAGCTGCACATTTATCCTGAAGTCAGACCGTATTGACCTGCTTCCTTTTCCTGAGCCCCTGACGTCCTCCAGCCAGACCTATAGTTAGGAGGCGAGGACCTGGGATGAGGCAGGGACTGTTGCTGGCAAAGGCTGACTGCGAGACATTGTTGGGTGCCAGGGCTGTTGAGGGCGAGTTACCGGAGCCTAAGAAAAGTAGCCTAACCAGAGGGCTGCCAAGGGGTTGGGTGTGGCTGGCTCGTTGGCGCCCCCAGGTGTCAGTTGTGAGAATGGGCCTGCAGGTTTTCATGTTGTGTCAAACCATAGTTACCAAGTAATCAGAAATCAAAATACCAGGAATGCTGTTCTTCACTTGGTTTTTAGGCAAAAGGAAACCGGTGACTAAAAAAAAAAACTACTAGGAATTTACTTTAATTGTAAAACAAAAGGATGCCCCTGATCCACAGTGGATGTGGTCCACACAATGACTCAGCCCAACCTTCCTGTTTAATAGGGCCACCTGCAGTGACTGGCACGTCCTGTGTCCTTGCTGTTCAGCACAGTGGCCACTAGCCTATGTGGCTCCTGAGCATTTGAAGTGTGGCCACTGCAACCAAGGAGTCACACTTTGGGACTTTCAAAAAATGTTGATGAATTTGAATTTCAATAGCCACATACAGCTAGTGGCTACTGTATTGGACAGTGCAGCTGTAAACCAGAGATCTCTGCAGCTCACATGAGACTGTGCACAGATGCAGGCTGACCTGGGGGACTGTAGGACTCTCATCAGTCAGAGCACCTCTGCTAACTGTGCTGGGCTTGGCCAGGCAGAGGAGGAGATGAAGCCCCCTGAGGAAGACTGTCAGCAAGACACTCTGGCCATAGGGGCCTTGTAGGCATCCATTCCTGCTCCAGCCAGTCCAAACGAGCAAGGAATCTGCTCTGCAGCCGTCTGCAGAATTGCCGTTGTACAGCAATTCTATAAAAAGGCAAAAGCATTTTGACTTGTGAGAGGAAACCACTAGATTGCAGCTGCAGACACCAAGGTGGAGGGACCTCACCGTGACCCCTGGTCCATGCAAGCATGAACCCCTGGACTGTATTGCTGGGGACTTCTTGGCATCCACCTCCTCTATGGTCACCACTTTCTTCTTAGTTGGTTCTAAACTGGAGCCCTGGTCATGTCCTCCACTAGGGGCATTTGAGACCAAAAACCTCCTTAGCCTGAGGCACATAATCCAGACACTGAGCACAGGCTGTGTGCAGGGCAGGTGCCCAGGGATGCCGAGATGAGCACCCTCAGGGTGGAACAAGTTGACATAGATGTGTGTGCCTCAGGAAGGTTCAGCCGGACCCGCCATAGGCTCAGGGACGGAAAGTCCGCGGGAAAGTGCGGCATGCCGTCCTCCCCGTGAGGCTGCTGTAGGTAGTGGCAGGCCCGCATGGCTGGGCATGGGAGGGGAAGGTCACCTGTGGGCAGTGAGTTTGTCTCACTTCTTTTCTGAGAAAAACATCAATGACAACAAAAGGGATTGGTCTGGTAGGGTATAGGCTGCCCCCTAGTGGCTGTGCTTTTGTTCTTGCCATTCTCACATTTTTTAATCCTTCGACATCTTGCAAGTTGCTTGGACGTGTTCTACCGCATCCCACAGTAAGAATACGTGCTACATTGGCTACCTGGGTGTGGACATGGGTAGACGTAAATCCAACCAGAGCCTCGTAAGACAAAACGTACCCTCGCCGCCTGCATTGACCGTTTCTAATCTGTTTTTCTATGTTGGCCGTAACTTACTAAATTGATTCACAACCACTAAGTGGGTCATGACCCACAGTTTGAAAATCTATTGAAAAGACAACTGTGCCCCTAATCATTACCTTCCACACTGCATCGCCCAGCCAGGCACCCTCGCCCCTCCGCCCCTCCCCGCCTCACGTGGCTCCCTCACGCAGGGCTGATTCCCACTCTGGGAATCGTCTGCTTGCAGGTGGCTGGCAGTTTTCAGTTGTCTGTCATCGTGATGGCCAGAGAGGGGAGATGCAGGAGGAGAGGGAATAATAGGTAAGGACATCTTTTATCCTAAGCGTGGGAAGGCTGAGAGAACTGGCTGCGGTTTTCAGAGTCTGTTTCAGCATATGCTATTTATCTTTCTGTTTATGGCGTTTCCACTGTGGACCAGGATAAGAGCAAGTGAAATGAGGCAGGCCTGAGTGGCCTGGGCCCGCCGCCTCTCCCCTGGCCCATCTCTTGAGCTGCTTCTTGCACAGACATCCTGTGGTTCTGTTTGTCCCAGGGTGAGAGGTGGGCATCCTGGAAGCCGTGGTTAGAAGACCAACAAGAAGGAGGCGTGCAGGGAGGGGGTCAGAGGTGGGGCTGGCTGGGGAGGAAACGGGCCAGCAAGTGACAAGGCCTACCCTTGGTGGCAGCAGGTACCTCGGGACGTGTTCTTGCTGCACCTTCCCTGGGAAGAGTAGAGAAGGCCAAGCGGACTAAACAAAATGCCTTCTCCAGGACCTCTGAAATTTACACCTTTTCAAGCCAGCAGAACCTGGAGTGCATCTGGTTCCATCTCCTCACATTTGGAGAAGAGAAAACTGAAGTCTCAGGGAGGAAAAGGCTTACCCAGAGTCATACAGTTAGTCTTAAAGCCAAGATGAATCACCTTGGGCTGATGAGAGCTGTGCAGAGACAGCCCTGACCAGGCCCCTGATGCTAGTGGGTATCTGATGATCTAGGCAGCCCTCACCACCACCACACAGCAGCACCCCGAGCGCAGACTCCCACATCCAGCGGCCGAGAGGTGGGAGCTCTGTGGCGGAAGGATGCTGCCAGGCTGGTGGCAAGCAGGCGTGATGCCCAAGCTATCCAAATGAATCCAGATCTTGAGCTCAGAGATTTCTCAAGAGGACAGAGCCTCCTCCTATGCAATGCCTGTCCTCCTCCAGCACAGAGAGACCTTGTAAATTGGCAGCAAATAGTCTGACTTGGTGTCTGAGGAAAGCCTGTTAGAGGTGAAGGTCGCCATAGTCTATCATGGGACGTGGATCTGCTAACCTAGCATCTGCTACTTCATGTGTGACTTAAGGTCCTCCTCCTTCAAGGATCTGTTCCCGATTCTTTTCTTGATTTTGTCAGTAGGGGTTAAAAATGTTCTGTGGTCAAATGCTAGAGTTAAAATGTATTAGATGACTTGGCTGCAGGACTTCTCAGAGCCTTGAATTCACTGTGACTTTAAAGTATGCTGTGACTTTCTGAGAGTATGTGGTGCCCCCTCCCCCTGGTCCCAGTGGCCCACCAAGCCCACTTTGGGAACCATGGGCTGACTATACTGCTAAGTAGCTTTCACTGCGGTTTCTCTGCACAGTTGATAGTGTGTCATGAGGGAAAGAGAAGATACAGCTTTGGTCTGATCCCTCTGTCCATGTCTCTGTACCATGGCCTTCCTCTTGGCCCATACCATTACCTACCCCATTAGCTCTAGGTGCCTGTTCTTGTTCCCAGAGGTGGGCCAGAGTGGGTTTATCTAGTCACAGCCTGGTGCTGAGAAGGCAGGATCCACGGTTTTGCTGACTCATCCGGTTGCTGTAGCTCTGCTGGTGTGGGGTGAGGGGGTGATCCGTTTTTGTTACGGTCATCTCGTCTCCACACCCATGGGAAAGACATCAGGGAAATCACTGCAGCCCTGTTGTCCTCACCCCGTCCAGTGGCCCTCTGCCCATGGAGTATGCTGGGCCTGTCGCATGATCTTCGGGATTGAAGGATTCCCATGGGGTCTCAGATTGGCTATGTGATTCTAAGACTATGGACTTCAGGGTGTGGGACTCTGTGTGCTGATAGCTAAATGGCTGTGTTCTTGTTTGTGACATTCCAGGGACACCACATCAAATTCGCTAACCCCCGAGGACACTGAAGACATTACCTTGGGGCAGGATGCTGAAATCTGCTTGCTGAAGTCTGGGGAGCTGATGTAAGTGCCTGTCCCTGAGCCAGGGCTTCACATTCAAGGCAGAGGAGCCTGGCCTTGCCAGTGCCAGAGCTGGAAAGCACCTGCAGGCTCTGACTGGGCACTGCTGGTGGCTTTCAGTGTGTGCTCTTTTTAGGTATAATTTATATACAGTAAAACTCCCTTTATAGTGTGCAGTGCTTGGACTTTGACAAATAATAGTGTCTAATCACGAGTCATCCTGCTCAGCCCCACACCCAACTCAGCCAGCAGCTCATACGATCCCAGGGACCTCAAAGCCTAACCAGCTATGCTCCCCATTTTTGCCAAAGAGGAAGCCTAGGTCTACAAAAGAAAAGTGATGATTTGCCCCCATGAGGCCACTCATGATGAAGATACAGACCAGGTCCATCACCCCCAAAAGTTTCCTGTCCCCTTTATATTCATCCCTCTCCCATGGCTATACCCTATGTTCTCCTTTTTTGAAAAAACTTTGTTTTCTTATTGTTAAAGCAATATATTTTAATTGTAGAAAATTAGTAGAGATAAGTAAATCACATTGGTATGTAGTCTTCCAGCCTTTTTATACATACAAACGTAATTTTAATATAAATATTGTACATGTTAAATTTAACATTGCATGAGTACTTCCCCATAGCATTCTCTTTCTCCACTGTCGTGTCCAGTGGCTGCATCACTGCACAACAGACCTTGAATAGATTCAGCCACTCATTCACTGATACTTATTCAGCACCTCCCATGTGTCAGGTACTGTTCTAAGTCCTTAGAGTACATCAGTGAACTGCCCGGAGAAAGAGCCGTGCCCTCGTGTTCAATCTATTGTCCAGGAGGGCTTAACAAACAATAAACACGAGTAAGTAAATTATATAGTATGTTACAAAGTAGTGCTTGCTATGGAGAAGAAACAGAGCAGGATAAAAAGTCAGAGGAATTTGCAGCTTTGAAGGAGTTGCCATGCAGATACATGAGGTAACATTCAGGCAGAGGAAACAGTCAGTGTAAAGGCCCTGGGGCACGTTCAAGGAATAGGGTAAAGGCCAGGGTGGTTGAAGCAGAGAGAGCGAAGGAGACCTACCTAGTCAGAGAGGGTCGTTCACATCACATCAGACCTTGTTGGCCATTGTAAGGACTTTGGTTTTTAGTCTGAGGGAAATGGGAGCCCCCGTATTAGGTTTGGAACAGAAGAGTGACAATCTAATTTACATCTGAAAAAGGATCACTCTGGTTGCCACGTGGAGCATGACTATGGAGGGTCGAGGGCAGAGTATGGAGACCAGTAGAATTTACATTTATGATGTGAGTCCTGTGGACAGTAGACTTTTATTGAAGATTATATTTGAGCAGAGATAGCAAACCCTGGATTTGTCTTTTTGAGCATCTCCTTTTGGGAGACTGGGTATTGTCCTTTACCGAACATATAGTGTCTAGAAAGGTTAAAATGACTAAAAGTACAATCCCAATAACAATGCAATGGGAGAATTCTGGAACATAAATTATAAGATGACCCAGCCTTGGTGTGGTGTTCTGTCAGTAAGTGACTGCACATAATGTAACATTTCATGTTACAAGAAAGACCTCTTTTCCATGGTGAACTTCCCTACCTACTCTCAGATTCTCTGAAAAATGTAAATATTAGAAAAGGCCTTTTGTACTATAATTAGAAATAAAACTTAATACATGGAAAAATGTTTCATGGAATTAAATTTTCACAAAGGTGAATGACTCAGAGCAGAGCTGTTCTTTTTAGAGCATTTGGGTTTTTTAATCATTGATTAGTCTTCTCATTGGCATAGCTTTGGGGAGAGTTTCCATCCATCCCCACAGCTTTGGAGGTAGGCCGAACTCTTAGCACCACCACTTGCTGCTCAGTCTTAGGCAAGTTGCCTAACCTCTCTGAGCTTTAGTTTCCAACTCTGTATTAAAGAGGTCAGTAAGTTGTTTTCTCCAGGAAAGGCACAGTTGAGGAGATGAGACTGGCCCTACCCCACAACACTCCTGTGTTGCAGCCCCGAGCTAACGTGCTGCTTCTGGAGTTGCTTGACACAGGAGGGGGTGCCACTCAGTCAAGACAGGCAGCATCAGGGAGACTTCCCCATTAACGTTAAGTTCATCCTCTCATGTCATCTCCACACCAGTCAGGAAGCAGGCATGGTTGTCTCTGTTTGCATATGAGGAGACTGAGGCTTAAGAGAGGGTCAGCCCTGCAGCAGTAAGAAGTGAGGCAGGCACCAGAACCCAGGTCACTCTGGCTCCACACCCCACTCTTCACATCACATCTGGGTCCTACAGAGGGCCCTGCAAGCAAGGAACTCATTGTCACTAAACCCTTCAAACTTCTGGAGGAGGCTCTTACCCACCTCATGAGAGTTAGAACCAGGAACACAGCCCCAAGAAGCCTTTCTCCGCAAGGCCATCATACCAGCCCTGCATTAAAGAGTGTCAGGGGAGGGGGAAGACAAGACGGTGGTGGAGTAGGTAGAAATTGCACTCACCTCCTCCCAGGACCAAACTGGAATTAAACTAAAATATAGAACACCTTACCTGAATAATCAACTGAAGACTAGCAGAGCAGAAGTCTTATAGCCAAGGATTTACAGAAGAAGCCACATTGAGACTGGTAGGAAGGGCTGAGACTCCAAAAGGGCTGGCCCATGCCCATGAGTGAGGCTAATATTCCAGAGGGATATCTCAGCTGCCAAGATTGACCCCTAAGGAGCAAGGCTCTCAACCTTGCACCAGGCTCCCAAGCCCAGAGTACCAGAGCTAGGAAAGAGGCACCCACATAATATCTGGCTGTGAAAATCAATGGGGATTCTGTACACCAAGGAGACACAGGATTCTGCTTGAAACTAAGGTGCCCTCTTAAAGGTCCAGCACATAAAATCTCGTTCATAGACACTCACCCTGGGCTCCAGAGAAGAGAAGGCAGAGGGACTCAAGTTCTGTGAGGAGAGACTGGGGTTTGTGGCTCCAGAGAGAGAGCTCAAGGAACAGCCACCAGGGTCTCTGTCCTGAGTCTCTCACATTGTAGATGCTCTCTTGGGTGGAGTACTCCTCTCCATACAGCATCAGTCTTGGAAAATACAATAGCCCCACCCTCCAGACTCCCTGATGCCCTACACAGCAGAAGTCACATCCTATAGAGGAGTCAGCTGCCTGGGCCCTGAGTGTAGAGGTCAGGGCAGACTCAGGGAGTGTCAGTGACTGAGTTGTGTGGCTCTGGGGTGGAGGCCACTCCTTCCCCAAGCCTGACCAGCGCCTCCCCCTCACAGGAGAGGCAGAATTTGCGACAGACTGGGTTGTGTGGCTCTAAGATGGGGTCCATTTTTTCCTCTCACGCCCAACCGGTGCAGAGCCCTCACTTCACACAGCCAAATCTTAGTTTATTTGGGCCTGATAAAATCTGCAGGCCTCACTCTGATGACTCCCTAAAACCCTGCCCCACCACAAAGGTCTGCAGGCACCCAGCAGGTGGCAGCTAGTCTTATTATACCCTGGGACTTTTAGTGAGTGGCCTCAGACCCAGCACTGACATCGAGTTTGAACCTATATCAATCTGGTGAACTCCACCCACTGAGAACCTACATCTTGCAACTCAAGTACTGCCAGAGGCTTTTTTAGTGACTGAGTGTAACAGGCAGCTGCAAGGTAGAAGCAAATCTCAGAGTGCCCTGCATCTTTTGCTGACCTGCCCCCAAGCTCAGTGCTGGTGAAAACCAGCGTTAGTGCACAATTGAGTCCTTCCTACACACATTCAGGCCCAGCAGAGGCAGCCACAAACGATGGATTGTTTTGTAGCTCCAAACAGATTGCCCAGGGCCAGTCACAGGTAGCATCTGACATTGACTTGCACCAGAGTCCCTCCCAAGAGGCACCAGAACCTAGTGGCAAGCTTCAGAAAACATCAGAGCAGGATCCAGTTACCTTCACAAGCGGCACATCCAAAGGGATATCTCGGCAGGCACCAGACCCTGCTGAGGTGAATTTCATTTCATGTGGCCAGCTGCTGTATAGCATCTTGTACACTGTGATCAGGGTCAGTCCTCACAGTTAGCCAGCCTGAGGGTTGGCCCATGCATAAACAGGCAAATAGGAATTAAGACTCAATTAAAACAGGAGGGCTAACATAACCCACACAAGGGACATTCCTAGAGCACCCAGCTCCAGTGATCAAGGAGACAGTGACACCGGGTCACACCTACTACATAAGGCTGCTCTATGAAGACTGGGAGAGATAGATTTACCTAATATACAGAAGCAAATACAAAAGGGTAGCCAACATTAGGAGACAAAGAAACATACCCCAAATGAAAGAACAGGAGAAATCTCCAGAAAAAGAGCCAAATGGAATGGAAGCAAGCAATCTACCAGATACAGAGTTCAAAACAATGGTTATAAAGATGCTCAAGAAACTTAGTGAGAATTTTAACATCATGAAAAAGGACAGAGAAACCATTTTTAGAAAGTCAAATGAAGAATACAGGGTAGGAAATAAACCATAGGTCAGGTGAAGCAGGGGACTGACTTAGCAGTTTAGAAGACAGGGTAGCAGAAAAAAGAAAAAGAACTCTTTTAAACATGAGGATACTTTAAAGAAATTTTGGTATAATGTGAAGCTTAAGAATATCCATCTTATAGGAGTACCAGAAGGAAAAGAGAGAAAGGAAGGGATTGAGAAACCTATTTGAAGAAATAATGGCTGAAAACGTCCCTAACCTGGTGAAGGAAAAAGAAACACAAGTCCAGGAAACACAAGATGAATCCAAAGAAGCCCACACCAAGACACATCATAATTAAAATGGCAGCAGTTAAAGACAAAGAGAGAATCTTAAAAGCAGCAAGAGAAAGGCAGTTAGTTACCTACAGGGGAGCTCCCATAAGACTTCTCAATAGAAAAGTTGATTTCTCAATAGAAAAATTTCAGGCTAGAAGGGTTGGATACAAAATATTCAAAGTGATGAAAAACAAGGATCTACAGCCAAGACTACTTTATCCAGCAAGGCTAGCATTTAAAATTGAAGGAGAAATAAAGAGCTTCCCAGACAACAGAATGCTAAAGGAGTTCATTACCGCCAAACCAGTTTGCCCACTTTGATCAGGTCCCTCTCTGCATTTGCTTTTTTAGGATAAAATTACCCTTCACAGTGGAAGAGATCGCCAACTTCGGGGAAGGCAACAGGGAGCTGTTTGTGAGGTCTGGTACCTACAGCCTCATCCCCATCACCGTGGCCGAGGCAGGCCTCACCATCAGCTGGGTCTTCTCCTCCGACCCCAAGAGCATCTCCTTCAGCGTGGTCTTCCAGGAGGCAGAGGACACACCACTGGATCAGTGTAAGGTAAGTGTAGCTCCCTGACAGCGGATACTTGCTCACACATCGGGACACCTGGCCAAGCCCTCCCTACAGCAGGGCAGTGGTGGTCTGCCTTCTGTTGGTCAGGCCTTTCTTGAGATGTTCTGGGGCCCAGCTCTGAGAGGGACGCCAAGAGAAACCTGGGTAGGAGAGCCCTCTGGGCTGCATCACACAGCAGGCAAAGCACCCAGGTTTGTCCTTGAGGAAGGAAAGACCTAGAAGCTCAGGAAAGCAATCTTGAAATGTCTGAAGGTCACTCTGTTGTCAGACAGCTTCGGTCTGACCTTCAGATCAGTAGTTGAAACTTTGAGGAATATAGACATATGGCTCAGTTTAAGGATTATTTTTTTAACAGCCATCCTGACCAAGAATGGGTCACTGTGGGGAGATCACCATCTCCCAAGATCTCTGCTTCTGGTTATTAGCTTAGGGTGTTCAACATCTCACCTCAAAAACATAGCCACTGTGTCACTTGGGTTGGTTGGGCATGAAATCTTGATGCCAGATACCAATTCATAAACTCCTAAGACATCCTAAGCTTGGAATATTGACGATGGCCTGGACCATAGTTCTCAACCTGGGCTGCACATTAGAAACACCTGGGGAGGTTTTTAAACCCACTGCTGGGGCCACACCCCAGACCACTAAATGAGAATCTCGGGGTGTTGGGGGACACAAACATCCCTAGGTGATTCCATAGAGCAGCCAAGGTTGAGAACCACTGGGCTGGATCAAGGGGAGGAAGTCAGAGTGTAGAGGTTGGGGTGTAATCAGGAATACAGGCAGGTGAACAGGACCCACGGTGGCTGATTGAGTGCGGGGTCAGGAAGAGAGAGGGTCGGAATCAATGCCTGCACCTTCACAAGGAGAGGGTGCAGGGGACAATGGATGAGAACTCATGGCAGCACCTTTGCTGTTCACCCTCCTGTTCCCAAGGCCCACCAAGCGCCTAGCATTGCATGTGCCCAGATTAGACTCTGGTGGGTGTTTGTGGCCGGGAGGGAAGGAGAGAGGGGACTAAAGTGTCCTGGTCTTTGCTGTTCCACCTGCCCACATGTGGCTGAGCCGTGGGTCTCTCCCCTTGCTCAGTCACTCACCTGTCCAATCCTCATGGCTTTGGGGCACCTGTGTGTTCCCTACCAGGAACCAGGAGCTTGGGGACCTGGAGAAGCTGTCCTCATCTCTGGCTTCCAGGGGCCTCCTGGGGGTTATGACCACCATTGTCTTTCCCACCGTTGACACCAGGGGGCAGAAGAAGCCCGTCTACTGAGTTTGTGAGTTAGGTGCTCAGGTGCGCTTCTGCCTTCAAAGGCCCACTGTCACCAGCCAGCCGTAGGCAGAGGTTATTTCTGCCTAAGGTGTCCAAACAGATGTCAGCCTGGGGAACCTCTTTCTAGCACACATCCTCAGCATCTGTCTTGGGGACCTCCCCTACGTGACCCCCTCACAAGCCATCTTTGTCCCCTCCAGGCTGACCTTGGGCCCATCCTATACCTCACCACCAGCAGCTTCCAGCCTGAGCGAATATACTGTGATGTCAGGAACGCACTCTGTGCACTCTCTCTCTCCCTCCCATGCCTTTGGGATCTCCCTTTTGATTTCTCTTTGACTCATGTTGTTTAGAAGTATGTGATTTAGTTTCCAAATATTTGGGGATTTTGCAGAGATCTGCTATTTAGTTCTTAATTTAATTCCATTGTCAGAAAACACACTTTGTATAACTTGAATCTATTTAAATGTAAGTTGTTGTTTTTTAACAGCCTAGTAGAATCTCGTCTACCTGGTAAATGCTCCAAGTGTACTTGAAAAGAATGTGTATTCTGCTGTTGTTGGGTGGAGTGTTCTGTAATTATCAATTAGATCAAGTTAGTTGACAGTGTTCTTTAAGTCTTCTGTTTCCTTATTTTTAAAAAAGAAAGAAAATCACATTTTTATTGGTCCTAGAGAGAGGGGAAGGGGGTGAGAGAGAGATAGCAATGTAAAAGAGAAACGTTGATCAGTTGCCTCCCATACATGCTCCGACCAAGGATCAAACCCACAACCTTTTGGTGTTCAGGACATTGCTCCAACCCACTGAGCCACACTGTCTAGGGCCTATTTCTTCATTGAGTTCCTGTATGTCTATTCCCTCGATTATCAAGATATTGAAATATCCAGCTGTAATTGTGAATTTATTTTATTTCTCCTTTTCATTCTACCACTTTTTGCTTCATGTGTGTTGAAGCTCTGTCATCAGGAGCATAGATGTGTAGGATTGTTATGTCCTGATGAATCGACACCTCTATCATTATAAAATTATCCCTGGCGTATTCTTTGATATAGTCTCTACTATGGTATTAATATATTCAATCCAGCTTTCTTTTGACTAGTGCTGGCATGGTACATCTTTTAATATCCTTACACTTTTAACCTACTTGTATCTTTACATTTAAATTGCATTTCTTGTAGGTATGATGGGGTTGGGTCTTGCTTTTATCCAACTGGATAATCTATGCCTTTGAATTGGGATGTTTGGACTGTTTACATTTCGTGTGATTATTGATAAGGTTTGAGTATAGCACCTTCCTGTGTGTTTTCTGTTTCTATAGCATCTTCCAGTCTGGTGGTGATTTCCTTTTTCTCTCAAAGCAGTAAGCTAAGGCAGTTGGCTGGCTCACCCCCTTCTCTCAGAGACTACTGTTCTTCATTGCCTAATGTCCAGTCTCTTGAAAAATGTTGTTTTGTGTAAAGCTGGGGCCAACAGGAAACAGCCAGACAGATGGATTTCATCTAGAATAAGCCCCAGCTTCCTAAAGCCAGAAAGGGACTGCTTCTGCAGATAGTGGGGTTTCTGCCACTGGCCACGGTCAGAGGAGGCTGGGGTCCATTCCTTTGGGGTGTTGACCAGTTCATGATTCTGGATGAAACTCATACGTACCCCTACTACAAGTTATCAACAAACCCCCGGCATGTGAGAGGCACCCACCTCCTAGGGGCTGATCCCAGCCCCAGCCTTGCTCAGCTCTGACCTCAGGACATGTAGCCTCCCAGGGCCTGTTTCCTCGTGCAAAGTAAAGGGTCTTCCCAGAGGATCCATGGGGCCCTTTCAGCCTCTGTGATGGTTTTTCTATTTGCTTTTCCTCCCAGGTCCTCATTCCCACAACCCGATGCAATTCCCACAAGGAGAACATCCAGGGCCAGCTCAAGGTCCGCACCCCAGGCATCTACATGCTCATCTTCGACAACACCTTTTCCAGGTAGGGGCCTCCTCTCGAGCTCAGCCCCTGCCACCTGTCCCAAGAGCAGAGGTGGACATTAAAAATAGATTACTTGATTATTAATTTATTAATAGTTACTGATTTTAGACCCTTATACTATGGTATTCCAATGTGTTGTCAATTTTATAACACACGAGCTGATACTTACAGTCTTACTACATGGGTGCGTTCTCAGCCCTCCACACGTACGGACTCAGGCTCCACAGCATCTCTATGTACTGGGGACCATCTTTCTCCTCATGTTACTGCTAAGGGACTAACAGCCAGAGGGGTAAACAAGTGACACTCCCAAGTCACACAGCTAGTGACTGAGCCAGATTTGAACACAGGTGGCCTACCTCCAGACTCTGGAATCAGCCAGCTTGCTCTCCTGCCTCTGTCTGGTGTCCAGGCCAGAGAAAGGCTCAGTAAATACAGTGGAAGTTTCATTAGGTGGGTGGGTCAATGGATGGGTAGGTGGACAGATCGATGAATGAGAGAAGAGTAAAAGAATGAAGGCTAAAGCTGGAAATAAGCAGAACTGGAGCTGTGAGACGAAGCCCCTGGCCCTTCCCGTCGGGGAACAGGAGCGTCATGTGCCCTCTCTGGGCAGCACTGGACCAAAGCACCAGGTCAGGTCCAGGAATGTAGGGCTTGG